CACTTCTTCTCACACTCAGACCCACTCAAGCCCAGACTCACTCATGCTCAGACTCATCATGCTGCGATCCGCTCAATCACAGAGTGGCTCACATTCAGATCGTCCATACTCAGACCCACTCGCACACAGACGCACTCGCGCTCATATTTACTCACACGCATACCCAGTCAAACCCAGGCCCAATCGCACCCATATTAACTCACACTCAGAAGCAGTCGCTCTCAGATTTGCTATTGGTCGCACTCATGCTTGCAGACTGTGGGAATGTCTCGAGCGAGCGGTTCGCCCTCGCACGCAGGCGCTCATTGACAGATCTCAATACAAAGACGTACCAAGAGAATGAGATGCACATATGGGGAGCCCCGCGTCGAGTAATTGTGGGGATGTCTCAGGCGGTTTGGCCAGTTTCTCTTCCAACATGTTTCGCTTCCGGAGCAGTTTGCGAGGATGTCTCAGGCGATTCGCTGGTTTCAGCACTCGTAAGGGGAGCGGCAGGTGGGTATTTCCCTCGGCCCCTTCCGCGGGATGTTGTGGGGATGTCTCAGGCGGTTTGGCAATTTTCTCTTCCAACATGTTTCGCTTTCGGAGCAGATTTGGAGGATGTCTCAGGCGATTCGGTGGTTTCAGCACTCTAAGGGGAGCGGCGGTGGGGTATGTCACTCGGCCCCTTTCGCTGGATGTTGTGGGGATGTCTCAGGCGGTTTGGCCATTTTCTCTTCCAACATGTTTCGCTTTCGGAGCAGATTTGGGGGACGTCTCAGGCGATTCGCTGGTTTCAGCGCTCTAAGGGGAGCGGCGGTGGGGTATTTCACTCGGCCCCTTTCGCGGGATTTTGTGGGGATGTCTCAGGCGGTTTGGCCATTTTCTCTTCCAACATGTTTCGCTTTTGGGGCAGATTTGGAGGACGTTCGTGCCCAGTTAGCGGGGATGTCTCAGGCGGTTTGGCCGTTATGATGCTGGACATTTGTTGTCTTCGGTGCAGTTTTGGGAGGATGTCTCAGGCGATTTGCTGGTTTCAGCACTCCCAAGGAAGAGGAGGAGGAAGAGGAGGAGGAAGAGAAGGAGAAAGCGAGGAGGAGGAGGAAGAGGACGAGGAGGAGGAGGAGGAGAAGGAGGACAGCATGAACACGGTAGGATCAGAAGCAGGAAGGGGATGATGATGATGATGATGATGATGATGATGATGATGATGATGATGATGATGATGATGATGATGATGATGATGAGGAGGAGGAGGAGGAGGAGGAGGAGGAGGAGGAGGAGGAGGAGGACGTGGGCAACTCGAGTAGCCAGGGCCAGACGATCGAGGTTCGATGTTCCAAGGCTTTAGATGTTCCTCAAACGTTTCCGCCTCACTCTCTTTCGCTCTCCGCTCTCTACTGGCAGCACCACTACGCCCAGCACGTCGGAGAGTAGTACGACCGAGAGCAGCAAAACGAGTATGACGAGTACGACGGGTACTAGCGGCACCACTACGCCCAGCACGTCGGCGAGGAGTACAACCGAAGGCAGCACCCCGAGCATGACGGGTACGACAGGAACCAGCGGCACCACTACGTCCAGCTTGTCGGCGAGCAGTACGACCGAGAGCAGCACCACGAGTACGACGAGTACGACGACTATCAGTGGCACAACTACGCCCAGCATAACTGAGAGTAATACGACCGAGGGCAGCACCATGAGTATGACGAATACGACGGATACCAGCGGCACCACTAATTACGCCCAGCACGACGGGGAGCGGCTCGGCGGGGACAAGTGAGGCAGTGAGCGCAATATGTTGTTTTTCCTTCCTTGCCCATCCGGTGTGCACTGGCTGCTGTTTTTCCTGTTTTCCCTTTCCTTTCCTCCTTCCCTCCCTCCCGCCTCGTTCTCCGCTCGCCTCTCCTTCGTCGCTCTGTTGCATGGGAGGTATTCTGTATAGTGTTTTTTGCACGCCTATCTGGCCTCTCCCTGGCCGCAGGCTGCCGACCCCGGGCTCCTGTGCCACGGGCTTGGTTCTCTGCCGCCGTTGGGGTTTCGGCCAATCCGGGGCGCCAGGGTGCCTCCGGTCCAAAACCTTTCGAAATTCCAATGCTTGTCTGTACAGGCCGCTGTCTTTTCAGTCGCGGTTCCTGCCTGTAGCTGTTCTCATATTTGCACATGGAGCCTGCTGGCTGTGATTGTGCTCCCCCTTTCCGCTTGCCTCCTTCCCTCTCCTCCTTCCTCTTCTTCCATTTGAAATGCCGTCGAGTTGCACTAGGTCGCCAGTTTTTTCTCGTGATGCTGGCGGGATGGACGCGGAAATCTGCGGTCCAGCTAGGCGTCGAACTGCGGGATAGGAACCAGGGTTTTGTTTCCATCGTTTTTGCCTAATGCTGTGCTCGTTTGTGCTCGTTTAATTCTGTGCCGTTATGTTATGGGCCTGCTCTGCCGCTATTGAGCTTCTGACCGGTACGAATAGCCCCCATGAGGGGAAGTGGATTCCAAACTGAGTGCTGCTGGGGCTTGACGCCTTCGTTTCATTTTCGGCGGGCTGGTGGATCCGGGGCATGCGGACTTCCAGTCAAGCGGTTGCGTGATGGTGGGGCGATGCGCGGGGTGGGGAGAAACAAATCCTTCGCTCTCCGCTCTCCTTCACTCTTCTGCATTCATACTCACTCATACTCAGGCTCAGTCACGCGCAGGCTCGCTCGCACTTAGACTCGCTTATATCCATACGAAAACTTACTTACACTCAGACTCGCGCTCATAACCACTCATGTTCAGACTCGCTCCTGCTCAGACTCATCATCCTTCGGTCCGCTCAAACGCATACCGACTCACACTCAGACTGCCTCACATCCATACCCAATCACACTCGGCTCACTCGCATTCAGATTCATTAACATACACTTTTCCTCACACCCAGACCCACTCAAACCCATACTCACTCATGCTCAGACTCATCATGCTACGATCCGTTCAATCACAGACTGGCTCACACTCAGATTCGTCCATACTCAGACCCACTCGCACACAGACGCACTCGCGCTCATATTTACTCACACGCATACCCAATCAAACCCAGGCTCAATCGCACCCAGATTAACTCACACTCAGAATCAGTCGCTCTCAGATTTGCTATTGGTCGCACTCATGCTTGCAGACTGTGGGAATGTCTCCAGCGAGCGGTTCGCCCTCGCACACAGGCGCTCATTGACAGATATCAATAGGAAGACGTACCAAGATAATGAAATGCACATATGGGGAGCCCCGCGCCGAGTAATTCCCCATATCCTAAGTATGGGTTTCTTGTTATTCCCCATATCCAAAGAGATGGGTTTCTTGTTATTGGCGGACCGCGCCGGAAGAACAGAGAGAAACTATAACACCACCTCACCTCCTCTCACTCAGTCATCACTCAGACTCCCTCATCACTCAGACTCAGTCAGTCACTCAGACTCACTCATCACTCAGACCTACTCATCACTCAGACTCACTCATCACTCAGACCCACTCATCACTCGGACTCAGTCACGACTCAGATTCATCACTCATCATTCAGATTCACTCATCACTCAGACTCATTCACCACTCAGATTCACTCATCACTCAGACCCACTCGTACTTGTACTCATACATTCACTACACTCACTCAGGTCCACTCATCTGATGATTCACACACAAACACACACTGATGTTGAGGATGTGTCAGGCGATTCTGTGGCTTCAGCACTCCTAAGGGGGGCGGCGGGGGGGTATTTCCCTCGGCCCCTTTCGCTGATTGTTTGTGGGGATGTCCCAGGCGGTTTGGCCATCTTCTCTTCCAACATGTTTCGCTTTCGGAGCAGTTCGCGAGGAAGTCTCAGGCGATTCGCTGCTTTCAGCACTTAATGGGGGGCGGCGGGGGGGTATTTCCCTCGGCCCCTTTCGCGGATGTTTGTGGGGATGTCTCAGGCGGTTTTGCTTTTTTCTCCTCCAGCATGTTTCGCTTTCGGAGCAGATTTGGAGGAGGAGGAGGAGGCAGGAAGAGGAGGAGGAGGAGGAGGAGGACGAGGAGGAGGAGGCAGACCAGGAAGAGGAGGAGGATGCTGAGGAGGAGGAGCAGGACCAGGAGGAGGAGGATGATGAGGAGGAGGAGCAGGACTAGGAGGAGGAGGAGGAGGAGGAGGAGGAGGAGGAGGAGGAGGAGGAGGAGGAGGAGGAGGAGGAGGAGGAGGAGGCAGGGGAGGCAGGGGAGGCAGGAGGACGGCAAGTCTTCTGTCTTCCTCTTGCCTTCATCCTCCGACGGGTGAGGAGGAGGAGGAGGAGGCGGGGCCAGTTGGCTGAGGGGAGGTGTACATTTGTGGGGTTAGATGCAAACAAAGGCAAGAATGCATACGGGTGCGAAGGATGCAACTCGTGGGATCACAGCTCATGCTACACGAGTGTCCTGTCCACTCTGGGCGCACCTGTTCAGGCTTGATTGTCTCAGCATCTCCCTCTATCCCGCCCTCCCTCTCCCCAATGATCCTCCCCCTCGCTCGTCCCCACCTCGATGCCTCTAGCATTGTAGTCAGAAGGGCTCGGGAAAGGGGATTGGGGGGAGGATGGGGAGTGATGGGGTTTGCTCCGCAGAGGAACGGCCAGGCCGAACGGCTGCCGAATCTGCACGCATCGCGAGCAGCGCTTGCTCGCAGACAGCCGCGCGGGCACGACCTAAACAGCGGAAGTGTACGGATGTTTCGAGTGTTCGGTGTGTGTGTGTGTGTGTGTGTGTGCGCGTGTGTGTGTGTGTGTGTGTGTGTGTGTGTGTGTGTGTGTGTGTGTGTGTGTGTGTGTGTGTGTGTGTGTGTGCTGCGGGGTTGCGTGCGTTTACATGGCCCCCTGGCATGTGTAGCTGTTGAGGGTCTCTGACATCCTCTCTCCCGCCTCCGAAGCAGGCCTCCCCTCCCCTCCTCCTTTAGCTGAATGTATGGGCAGGCCTGGCGTCCCCCAGCTTGCCGATTTCTCGAGGAAGGGGGGGGAGACAAGGGGATGAACTGGGGGGAGGGGGGACGATGTCGTCCGAGGTACCGCCCGGGGAGGCGGGCCTCGTGGAACGAGGCGCCCAGGGAGGCGGCCCTCTTCTGCGGCTGGGCCGAACGGCTCGCCCATCCATATTGTTTGTCCTTTCTTGCTCTTCGAGTGGGCTTGGGACTCCTTAGTGCACCAGTGCATCAGAGGAGGAGGAGGAGGAGGAGGAGGAGGAGGAGGAGGAGGAGGAGGAGAAGGGAAAGGAGGAGGACCAGGAGGAGGAGGATGATGAGGAGGAGGAGGAGGAGGAGCAGGATTAGGAGGGGGAGGAGGAGGCGGCAGGGGGGGCAGGAGGACGGCAAGTCTTCTCTTTTCCTCTTTCCTTCATCCTTCGACGGATGAGGAGGAGGAGGAGGAGGAGGAGGAGGAGGAGGAGGAGGAGGACCAGGAGGAGGAGGAGGAGGAGGAGGAGGAGGAGGAGGAGGAGGAGGAGAGGGGGGGAGGAGGGGGGCCAGGAGGAGGATGAGGAGGAGGAGGCACGGGGGGAGGAGGACGAGGCAGGGGAGGAGTAGGAGTAGCAGGAGGAGGAGGAAAAGGAGGAGAAGGAGGAGGAGGAGGAGCAGGCGGAGGAGGAGGAGGAGGAGGAAGAGGAGGAGCAGGAGGAGGAAAAGGAAGACGACGACGACCACGACCACGACCACGACGACGACGACGACGACGACAACGACGGCGACCGCGACAACGATGGCGACAAGACGATGACAACGACGACGACGACGACGACGAGGACGACGAGGACGACGACGACGACGGATCAGGGCAGGAGCAGGACCATCGTGTACATCTACCTGGAGGACGGCGCCCATGGGAGGGGGGGAAGGGTTAGCACGACGCTTGGCGTCGGAGCCTGGGGTCACGACCGCCATCAGCACGACCATCATCACGATCTCCACAACCACCACCGGCACAACCACCAACAGCACAATGACCAACAGCACAACCGTCATCGCAATATGGTACCACCAACAGCACAACCACCAACAGCACAACCACCAACAACACAACCACCAACAGCACAAGCGACGGCGCAATATGGTACCACCGCCAGTACAATCGCCACCTGCACAACCACCACCGGCACGACCACCGCCAGCACGACCGTCACCAGGACACCATCGCAACCATTACCATCACAACCGCCACCAGCACAACCACCAACAGCACAATCACCAACAGCACAAGCGCCATTGCAATATGGTACCACAGCCAGCACAACCGCGACCAACGCAACCATCACCAGCGCCACCATCACCATTAGCTCAACCACTGGCAGAACAACCACCGCCAGCACAATCAGCGCAACCGCCGCCGGCACAACCGCCAGCAGCACAAGCAACACAACCATCACCAGCACAACCACCAACAGCACAATCACCAACAGCACAAGCGCCATTGCAATGTGGTACCACAACGAACACAACCACGACCAACGCAACCATCGCCAGCGCCACCATCACCATCAGCCCAACCACTGGCAGAACAACCGCCACCAGCACAATCAGCACAACCGACGACAGCACAACCGCCGGCAGCACAAGCAACACAACCATCACCAGCACAACCGCCAACAGCACAATAATCAACAGCACAAGCGGGGCAGGCGATTCGAGCCTCGGCCCCGCCAAAACCAGGGCGGTGGAATGCCGTGTCGCCCGCGGGCGAGCGCGATTGCGCGGGCGCGAGCGAGCCGCGCTGTCCAGAGGGAGCGCTGCCCCCCCCGAGTCGCGCTCCGGCGTGTATCCAGGGGGGGCGGCGTTCACTCCGAGTCGCGCAGGAGTCGATCTGATTGCTCAGTGCTCGTTGTCGTCGTCGATTCGTCTCGTTGCGTGAGCAAGCGCGAGCTGCCGACCCGCGCGATGCCAAGTGCTGACACATGATCTCCAGATTGTTTCGACCAGATTGCTTCGGCCAGATTGCCAGCGCCCGCGGCCTTCATTTCAGGGGGTACTAAGATAATGATGCGGATATGATATTCCCTTTTCTCCTTCCTCATATTTTGACCAAAATTATGCTCTTTCCTTTTCCTTCTCCTCTCTCTCTCTCTCTCTCTCTTTTTTTGTTTCTCTTTCTCTCTCTCTTTCTTTCTTTCTTTCTCTCCTGCCCCATCACACTCAGAGTTACCGCCAGAATGAGATGCACATATGGGGAGCCCCGTGTCGAGCAATTGGCGGACCCCGCGGGAGGAGAACACAGACGAGAATACACCACTCCTCTCACTCAGACCCACTCAGACACACTCATCCCGCAGACTCACTCACTACTCAGACTCACTCATCATTCGGACTCACTCACCACTCATTCCCACTCATCACTCAGACCCACTCATCACTCATACTCATTCATCACTCAGACTCAGGCATGACTCAAACCCGCTCACTTCTCGGACACAGTCATGACTCATACTCACCAGTCATCACTCAGACACACCCATCATTCAGACTCACTCATCACTCAGACTCACTCGTACTTGTACTCATACATTCACTACATTCACACACTGATGTTGAGGATGTGTCAGGCGATTCTGTGGTTTCACCACTCCTAAGGGGAGCGGCGGGGGGGTATTTCCTTCGGCCCCTTTCGCGGATGTTTGTGGGGATGTCCCAGGCGGTTTGGCAATTTTCTCATCCAGCATGTTTCCGCTTTCGGAGCAGTTTGCGAGGATGTCTCAGGCGATTCGCTGGTTTCAGCACTCCTAAGGGGAGGGGCGGGGGGGTATTTCCCTCGGCCCCTTTTGCTGGATGTTTGTGGGGATGTCCCAGGCGGTTTGGCCATGTTCTCATCCAGCATGTTTCCGCTTTCGGAACAGTTTGCGAGGATGTCTCAGGCGATTCGCTGGTTTCAGCACTCCTAAGGGGAGGGGCGGGGGGGTATTTCCCTCGGCCCCTTTTGCTGGATTGTGTGGGGATGTCTCAGGCGGTTTTGCTCTATTCTCCTCCAACATGTTCCGCTTTCGGAGCAGTTTTGGGAGGATGTCTCAGGCGATTCGCTGGTTTCAGCACTCTAAGGGGAGCGGCGGGGGGGTATTTCACTCGGCCCCTTTCGCTGGATTGTGTGGGGATGCCTCAGGCGGTTTTGCCGTTTTCTCCTCCAACATGTTTCGCTTTCGGAGCAGATTTGGAGGATGTCTCAGGCGATTCGCTGATGTCAGCACTCGAAGGGGAGCGGCGGGGGGGTATTTCACTCGGCCCCTTTCGCGGGATTTTGTGGGGGTGTCTCAGGCGGTTCGGCCATTTTCTCTTCCAGCATGTTTCGCTTTCGGAGCAGATTTGGAGGACGTTCGCGCCCAGTTTGCGGGGATGTCTCAGGCGGTTTGGCCGTTATGATGCTGGGCATCTGTCGTTTTCGGAGCAGTTTTGGGAGGATGTCTCAGGCGATTTGCTGGTTTCAGCACCCCGAAGGAGGAGGAGGAGGAGGAAGAGGAGGAGGAGGAGGAGGAGGAGGAGGAGGAGGAGAAAATGAGGACACGAGGACGAGGAGACGAGGAGGAGGAGGAGAAGGAGGACAGCATGAACACGGTAGGAGCAGAAGCGGGAAGATGATGATGATGATGATGATGATGATGATGATGATGATGATGATGATGATGATGATGATGATGATGATGATGATGAGGAGGAGGAGGAGGAGGAGGAGGAGGAGGAGGAGGAGGAGGACGTGGGCAACTCGAGTAGCCCGGGTCAGATGATCGAGGTTCGATGTTCCAAGGCTTTAGGTTTTACTCAAACGTTTCCGCCTCACTCTCCTTCGCTCTCCGCTTTCCTTCACTCTTCTGCACTCATACTCACGCATGCTCAGACTCATTCACACGCAGGCTCGCTCGCACTTAGACTCGCTCATATCCAGCTCAGAACCGCTCATATTCAGATTCGCTCCTGCTCGGACTCATCATCCTTCGGTCCGCTCAAGCGCAGACCGACTCACACTCAGACTGCCTCGCATCCATACCCAATCACACTCGGCGCACTCGCACTCAGATTCATTCGCACACACTTTTTCTCACACTCAGACCCACTCAAGCCCAGACTCACTCATGCTCAGACTCATCATCCTTCGGTCCGCTCAAACGCAGACCGACTCACACTCAGACTGCCCACATCCATACCCAATCACACTCGGCTCATTCGCACTCAAATTCATTAACACACACTTTTTCTCACACTCAGACCCACTCAAGCCCAGACTCACTCATGCTCAGACTCATCATGCTACGATCCGCTCAATCACAGACTGGCTCACACTCAGATTCGTCCATGCTCAGACCCACTCGCACACAGACGCACTCGCGCTCATATCTATTCACACGCATACCCAATCAATCCCAGGCTCAATCGCACCCAGATTGACGCACACTCAGAATCAGTCGCTCTCAGATTTGCTATTGGTCGCACTCATGCTTGCAGACTGTGGGAATGTCTCGAGCGAGCGGTTCGCCCTCGCACACAGGCGCTCATTGACAGATATCAATAGAAACACGTACCAAGAGAATGAGAAACACATATGGGGAGCCCCGCGTCGAGTAATTCCCCATATCCAAAGAGATGGGGTTCTTGTTATTGGCGGACCGCGCCGGAGGAACAGAGAGAGAACAGAACACCACCTCACCTCCTCTCACTCAGACCCACTCAGACTCAGTCATCACTCAGACTCCGTCATCATTCAGACTCAGTCAGCCACTCAGACTCACTCATCACTCAGACCCACTCATCACTCAGACTCAATCATCACGCAGACCCACTCATCACTCGGACTCAGTCATGACTCAGACTCATCACTCATCACTCAGACCCACTCATCACTCATACTCACTCATCACTCAGACTCACTCATCACTCAGACTCACTCGTACACTCATACATTCACTACACTCACTCAGGTCCACTCATCGGATGACTCACACACACTGATGTTGAGGATGTGTCAGGCGATTCTGTGGCTTCAGCACTCCTAAGGGGAGCGGCGGGGGGGTATTTCCCTCGGCCCCTTTTCGATGATTTTTCCCCATATCCTAAGTATGGGGTTCTTGTTATTGGCGGACCGCGCCGGAGGAGAGAGAACGAGAGAACACACCACTCTTCTCACTCATACCCACTCACTCATTACTCAGACTCACTCATCACTCAGACCCACTCATCACGCAGACTCACTCATCACTCAGGTCCACTCATCACTCGGACTCAGTAATGACTCAGACTCATCACTCATCACTCAGACTCACTCATCATTCAGACTCACTCATCACTCAGAATCACTCATCCTTCAGATTCACTCGTAGTTGTACTCATACATTCACTACATTCACTCAGGCCCACTCATCGGATGACTCACACACACTGATGTTGAGGATGTCTCAGGCGATTCTGTGGCCTCAGCACTCCTGAGGGGAGCGGCGGGGGGGTATTGCATTCGGCCCCTTTCGCAGGATGTTGTGGGGACGTCTCAGGCGGTTTGGCCATTTTCTCTTCCAACATGTTTCGCTTTCGGAGCAGATTTGGAGGATGTCTCAGGCGATTCGCTGGTTTCCGCACTCCTAAGGGGAGCGGCGGGGGGGTATTGCACTCGGCCCCTTTCGCTGGATTTTGTAGGGTTGTCTCAGGCGGTTTGGCCATTTTCTCTTCAACGCGTTTCGCTTTCGGAGCAGATTCGGAGGATGTCTCAGGCGATTCGCTGGTTTCAGCATTCTAATGGGAGCGGCGGGGGGTATTTCACTCGGCCCCTTTCGCTGGATGTTGTGGGGATGTTTCAGGCGGTTTGGCCATTTTCTCTTCCAGCATGTTTCGCTTTCGGAGCAGATTTGGAGGATGTCTCAGGCGATTCGCTGGTTTCAGCACTCGAAGGGGAGCGGCGGGGGGGTATTTCACTCGGCCCCTTTCGCGGGATTGTGTTGGGATGTCTCAGGCGGTTCGGCCATTTTCTCTTCCAGCATGTTTCGCTTTCGGAGCAGATTTGGAGGACGTTCGCGCCCAGTTTGCGGGGATGTCTCAGGCGGTTTGGCAGTTATGGTGCTGAGCATCTGTCGTTTTCGGAGCAGTTTTGGGAGGATGTCTCAGGCGAGTTGCTGGTTTCAGCACTCCCAAGGAGGAGGAAGAGGAGGAGGAGGAGGAGGAGGAGGAGGAAGAAAAGGAGGAAGCGAGGAGGAGGAGGAAGAGGACGAGGAGGAGGAGGAGGAGGAGGACAGCATGAACACGGTAGGAGCATAAGCAGGAAGGGGATGATGATGATGATGATGATGATGATGATGATGAGGAGGAGGAGGAGGAGGAGGAGGAGGAGGAGGAGGAGGACGTGGGCAACTCGAGTAGCCCGGGCCAGATGATCGAGGTTCGATGTTCCAAGGCTTTAGGTTTTACTCAAACGCTTCCGCCTCGCTCTCCTTCGCTCTCCGCTCTCCTTCACTCTTCTGCATTCATACCCACCCATACTCAGACTCAGTCACACGCAGGCCCACTCGCACTTAGACTCGCTCATATCCAGCTCAGAACCGCTCATACTCAGACTCGCTCCTGCTCAGACTCATCATCCTTCGGTCCGCTCAAACGCAGACCGACTCACACTCAGACTGCCTCACATCCATACCCAATCACACTCGGCTCACTCGCATTCAGTTTCATTAGCACACACTTTTTCTCACACTCAGACCCACTCGAGCCCAGACTCACTCATGCTCAGACTCATCATGCTACGATTCGCTCAATCACAGACTGG